ATGTCAGTTGTAAAATGAGACAACTGAAAAGGACTAAATGCTTTTTTTAAAATTAAAAAACATTTTTTAATGTTATTTTATTATTTAATTTTATTTCTTTTCAAGGAAGATTAGCCCTGAGCTAACTGCTTCCAATCCTCCTCTTTTTGCGAGGAAGACTGGTCCTGAGCTAACATCAGTGCCCATCTTCCTCTACTTTCTATGCAGGACGCCTACCACAGCATGGCTTGCCATGCAGTGCCATGTCTGTACCCAGGATCCGAACCGGCGAACCGGGGGCCTCAGAGAAGCGGAACGTGCACACTTAGCCAATGTACCACCTGGCCGGCCCCAGGACTAAATGCTTTTAAGCTTTCTTTTGATTTCAAATTTCTATAGTTTTGATAGGGAAAGACAATAGTAACCATTTGAGAGTATATGTGAGAATGAGTGTATATGTAATCGGCAGTGCTATATGGTACCACAAGATGATAGTATCATATGTATTGTAGTCAGGCGCTACATTCTACTTTATGCAGTAAGTAGAATATAATTATGCCAGAGGGTTTACAAGGGATACAAATTACCTTTAATTTTTTTTTTTGCTTCTGGCTTGTTTATTTTCATCTTTATCCCAGTTACATGAAGTTTATTTCAATTTTCTTATCACTGACATTAACAATTTTTTCCATTTTCGACTAAGTTTTACAAATATGGGAAAAATACACAAACAGGCTGTTTAGACAAGGTAAAATGGGTGAGGAGGCAGGCAACAACCCCTACACATTTGTTATCCATCTACCATTGCACAAAAGTCTGCTGCTGTACGAGAGACTGAATTCAGCATACACAAGGAGTTTTAATCTATACTCAGGAAGGTCAAGGAAAGTCTGACTTTCCCCATAGACCCCTGGTAGCTTCAAGATTCTTGATTCCACAGGCCTTCCACGAGGGAGATGATCCTGACTCTGTGTGACAAAAATGAGTGGCAAACATTGAAAATCCCTGTTAGACGGCAGGTTCCCAAAACTGAACTGTGTTCATAGCAGGGTTAAATAAACACATTGACTTCAAGTACAGTGAAGTTCTCTAATATCTATCAACATTGATTTAAATAAATTTAAAAAATAATAGCTTTATTGAGATTAATTCACATACTATATAGCTCACCCTTTCAAAGTGTACAATTCAGTGGTTCTTGCTGTATGTACAAAGTTGTGCATTGATTGCCGCTATCTAATTCATGAACATTTCCATCACTCCAAAAAGAAATCCCATACTCAGTAGCAGTCACCCTTCATCCTTGTCCCTAACCCCTCCCCCACCCCAACTCCTGGTAACCATTAATCTACTTTCCGTTTCTATGGATTTGCTTATTTTGGACATTTCATAAAAATGGAATCATATAATATGTGGCCTTTTGTGTCTGGCTTCTTTTACTTAGCATGATGTTTTCAAGGTTCATCCGTGTTGTAGCATGGACCAGAACTTCATTGCTTTTTATGGCTGAATGCTATTTCATTTTATGGATATATCATATTTGTTTATCCACTTAGTTGATGCACATTTCAGTTGCTTACACTTTTTGACTGTTTGAATAATGCTGCTCTGAGCATTCATACACAGATTTTCCTCTGGACATATGGTTTCATTTCTTTTGGAATATATCTAGGGGCAGAATTTCTGAGTCATATGGTAATTCTATGTTTAACATTTTGAGGAACTGCCAAACTATTTGCTAAGTGGCTACGCCATTTTACATTCCCACCAGCAACCTCTGAGGGTTCTAATTTCCCCACATCCTTGCCTCCACTTATTATTGCCCATCTCTTTTATTGTAACTGCCTTTGATAGTAAATGATAGTAATGAGAGACTGATAGATATTGAAACATATTTATCAGGCATCATAGGAAATTTCTTTCTGGGAGCTCTTGGTAAATAGTTTAAGACATAATTGAGGTTTTCTTTTTCATTCTCTTTTTTTCTTCTGTTCTCCTTTTCTTCCTCTTTTCTTTTTTCCATCTCTTTCTTCCTCTTGTATCTGTCTCCTCTCATTTGCTTTTAGTTTATTTTAAATTAGATAACAAAACTTGTTCTTTTTAGCATTGAGCAGTATAGACATGAACAAGAGAAAAACAATCCCCTCACTCCACTCTCCCTTGTGACCCTGAATGTAACCAATGTTAGTTGTCCACTGTGTATAGTCCCACACTTTTTAAAGGTTATACATTTATACCTATATTAACAAAAACAAGATCATTTAATACCCATCACTCTGAAACTTGCTTTTGAATTTTTGGAACATTATATTGGCTGTTGAAAGTATACTTAAAACATAGGTAACTTCACTCATCTCTTTAACTTTCAAAACATGCAACACACAAACACACAATATTCAATATATGCACACACTCACTCCAACTCTAAATGATTCCTTTTTTCCATTTTGTTGTGTCATGAAAAAGGAAAACTGTTAGTATTGTCAAATTGATTACTTCTGTCTTTGCCTTATGTTATTCTTCCCATTTTTCATCTCTGTTCTTTATATACAATTCTGTTGTCCTCTGTTCACAGAATCATTTGGAGTAAAACTGGTGGATTCAGCAGTAGAAAATGTTTCCCGTAAAGGAACCCATGGCTGTTCCTGTGGAAGCCTAGAGTCACCTCTTCAAGAAAGGAGCTTCTTCCCTTGTGTTTCTTCTGGGTTTTGCACTCAGATGGAGATTTCCTCCCTCACCCACAGGGAGGGAGTTGCCCTTCTGCTGGCTCCAGTGGCTCAGGAACTGGGGACGCAGTGCCTGGCTTGTGGTGTCCTGCGGCAGATGTGGGAATTTTTCATTCTTTATGTTTCCCTGACAATGGCAGGTAAGTCTCAAGTTAATAACAAACACTGGGGGATGTTTTCAAAATAAGTTTCTTCTGGCTAAATGATTGCAGCATCTGACACTTGTAATGAAAGAGTATTTCCTGATAAATGTTTTCCTCATGTGGTGTTAATTGTCCTCCTATTACTACAAACTACAATTACTGCTACTTCTACCATCGTTTATTTCTAGCTAAGGAACCCTTCCATTAGGGGCAGTTTCTTGTGACCACATGGAAACTATCCATTAAAATAATGATGTGGCTCCCAGGAGTGCTGCCCTGGTAACGGTCATGCTTCTTTTCATAGGCACTGTGGGTCAAGACGTTCATCATCCCAGTGAGTTGACAGCTATGGAAGGAGCCTTTGTCCAGGTCAATTGCACGTACCAGACATCTGGGTTCAACGGGCTGTCTTGGTACCAGCAACACGATGGTGGAGCACCCATATTTCTCTCTTGCAGTGTTCTGGATGGTTTGAAGAGGAGAGGACATTTTTCTTAATTCCTTAGTTACTCTGACGCTTAGTCACCTCTTTCTGAAGGAGCTCTGGATGAAAGACTCTGCCTCTTACCTCTGTGCTGTGAGTGACATGATGACTACGAGGCCTCTTCAGCTGCACCAAAATTTAAAAGGGGCCTGTGGGTGGGCTTGAGAAGTTCTGGTATGTCCTGAGTGTGCCTGCTTATGCCTCTAATTTTAAACTTGTTTAGAATAATATAGCAGAAGACTCTGAAAGTGAATCCCGGAAGAAGGGACAAATTGCTCTCTTTCTCTTTCTTCTTCTCTTTCTTCTCCTTTCCCTCCTCTTCCTGCTTATTTGTACTTCCGTTATCCTGTGGCCTGAGAGTGGAAGATAGAATTTGCTTTTGGAGGAAGCCCTTTATTCCGAGGAAGGATCCCTTGGTGATTACTTTAGTTTATGCAGTAGGAGGTCATATACTTATTCGTTTATCCCTGGAAGGCTCTGAAATTGGTGAGGTAAATGCAAATGCCTCAGCTGGAGATATATAAGGTTCCATTTAGTTTGGTAAAATCTGTCCTCTTTTTTTATTTCTCTGAGGGATTCTTTTGATATTATTTAACTTTATGGTAGATTTATCCAGCGTGTTGGATGTTGTGGGGTCTCTGGACTTAGGGAGTGAAGGGAAGATCAAGGAGAGCTCCTCTACATGGAGCAGAAGAGTGAACTCATGCAATGAAGTGCAGGGTAGGTAGGATGGGGAAGGAGATGGCCAGCAGGGAACTCCTATAAAAGCACTGTATGATGGACATGAGGAACAGTAAAATCTAATATCCAGTGTAAAGATTTTCTTTTTCTGAATTGTGATTCTTGCGTGCTATCCCAAAGTCTTTGACATTTGTTAAACATTATAGCCTATATATTCTGTGTATAGAGGAAATGCAGAATTTCTTCCTCATATGTCAATTTGTCTTTCTCTACATGTAAGTGTCTATATTTATTCCTATGTATTTTTTCTTGTAGTTTTGGATATTTAAATTGTTCTATCAGCTAATTTTGAGTCACTCCTTTTGGGATAAATAGAATAAGAGGACCTTCGTGGTAGCGAGTAGGAAATAAAGGTAAAATGAATGTTTTTCACTCAATAAATATTTTATTGAACACTTTGTATGTGCTAAGCACTCTTTCAATTGCTGGGGCACGTTGGCGAATAAAAGATCTCTGCATTCATGTTGCTTATGTTCTGGCGAAGACAGAGAAAGTAGACCTTTTAGAAAACATGTCTTTGAAAGTATAGAGAAAATAAACTTGATCCTGAGAATTAGACTTCATTGTCTTTTAGAGGAAGAAAGCTGAGAGGTATGACAGTCAGCTGATGTCATGAGCTGAGTAAGGGCTATATAACATTGGATGATTATAAGACTACAAGTCCAATTGTCCAAAGAGATTCAATCTTTCAAATTTCTCAAATGCATCTAGGTTCACAGTGGAACTCCAACACATAAAGTCAGAAAGATACTGAACATTTGAATGGAGGATCTAACATCGAAATAAATGACCTTTAATATGTGTTCACTAGTAAAAATAAAAATTCAAGTTCCTCATTGAAACTATGAGGGAGATAGAGTCTAAAAAACTTCTAGCAAGTAGTGAATGGTAAATGGAAATGAACTGTGCAATGCCAAATATCTAAATTTGAAGACATGTAAGTTATTGATATTCTCTTTACTAAATATACTATCTTTGTTTTTAATTTAGTGATTATGAGGAGTATCCAAAAAGGGTTTTATAGCTTCATTCTGACTTCATTTCCACAGCTATTTTTCCCTAAAGTCTTAAGTTTCTAAACCACACATTTTTCTACCACAGAGATTTTCAAGAAGCAGGATCACCCCTCTTTTATAATTTATATCTCTGCCAGTAGGAATTCTTTCCTCTATCTGACCTTCCATTTCCACCTGGAAGAAGGTTGGGTGCTAGAAGTTGGAGCAAACCTTTTCCAGAGGGCAGGAATCAAGGTATTTAGAATTATTGTGAGTCAAACTGGGAACTCAGCTCAGTTGTCACGTTCAAAGAACCGTAACTGTGTATGGACCTGGGAGTCAGATGATTCTAAGTTCAAACCCTGGCTCCTCAGGGTGTTCTAAAGGTGGAGGGCACGGAATTTCATGTCTTAGCACAAGGGGAGAGTGAGGAAAGGGAAGGAAATATAAATGATCCAGTATTTACAAGTTCAAGTGCTTGAGAGAGTTAATGCCATGCAAAAGCAAAGAAACACAGAATTTTTAGAAGTCTAGAGTTAACAGGTAAAGAGAATGAAAAGGGGATAAGGCTAGCATTGAGTCATTTTCTCTCTTTCACATCTTCTGGCATAATATACCAGGTTGATACACTCTCATCCTAGTCAACCTTTGATAAAGCATTTTCTTATCTCACAAGGTAGTCAGGAGGTGGTATATTAAATAGTGTATCCTTTATTTATTAAAAAACAATGTAAAACAATTTGAACCAACTTAACGAGATGAAAAGATTATGAGTCTAAAGAATTCAGAAGTTTCTTCTAAACAGAGTTAAATTCAGTTCAGTTTTGTTTGAGTGTTACTGAGTGTTAATCATTAACAGTTGATGGAGCATTTGCCTCATGTGGCAGTAGCTGAAAAGAATGGTAGCGATGGTGATGTAGGTAGTCCCTGAGCCTGTAGTTACTTATTTGCACTCGCAGCCCCTCGGCCTGCTGTTATTCTCTTCAGAGCAGACTTCACTTCCTGGTTTCTCAGTGTATAGATGAGGGGGTTCAGTAATGGAGTGACAACAGTGTAAAACACAGCCACTGCCCCATCCAGGGGGCTCTTGGAGCCAGCCCGAAGGTAGATGAAAATGCAGGGGACATAGTAGACTGTGACCACGGTTAGGTGGGAGCCACAGGTGGAGAAGGCCCGGCGCCGCCCATCAGCAGTGTGGATCTTCAGGATGGCACGGGCTATGTTGGCATAGGAGAGCAGAATCAACATGAAGCAACTGGCAGCCACTACCCCAATGTCCACAAAGGTCACAAGCTCATTGACAGTCGTGTCAGCACAAGCCAGTCTCAATACTGCAGGGATGTCACAGATAAAGTAATCCACCTGGTTGGGCCCACAGTAGGGCAGGCGGAATGTCAGGGTGGCCTGGATAGACCCATGGATGGAGCCGGCCACCCATGCTCCAGCTACAAGCATGGTACATAACCTCCCATTCATGAGCACAGAGTAGCGCAGAGGGTGGCATATTGCCAGGTACCTGTCATAGGCCATCAAGGTATAGAGGAAGCACTGGGTGCTGCCCAGGAAGTGAAAGAAATACAATTGAGCCACACAGCCAGCAAATGGGATTGCTTTGCTGGCAGGAGTAAAATCCAATATTAGCCGAGGAACGATGACTGAGGAGAGCCACATGTCCAGAAATGAGAGCACACCCAGAAGAATGTACATGGGCCGAGCATGGAGCTTTGGGTCAGCCCACACAGTGAGCAGAATGAGCAGATTTCCCAGCTGAGTCAGGAAGTAAATGCAGAAGAAGACCAGGAAGAGGAGGGTCCTCAGATTCGGGGGGTGAGACAAGCCCAGGAGAATGAAGTCTGTCACCACAGTGTCCAGAGATGTGTTTTTGGTCTTTCTCATGTCTTTCTGTAGTCTGCTAAGATGAATGGTGAAGTCAGACAAAGGAGATACAACAAATGGAGGTGGGGAGAGAATGCTTTTGTCTGATGATTAATGCCTAAGAGTTATGAGATAAACAGAATAATATTAAAACTTTTTTTCCCTTAAACATAAGTTCTGTTGTCATTAGTTATTTTGGGCTACTTGATAAGAGAAACCATCCAGAGGCTAGTTAGTTTCATAGATGGTTGGAAACTCTTATCTTTTCTGAGATACTGAGAAGCAGAATTAGTCAGATCAAGGAAGAGGCGAATGTGTGAACCACAGAGAAGGACCAGTAACTCTAACCAAATAGAGTATTCCTCAAAGAGGGGCTAAGATGGAGGCAGTGTGGAACGCACACTCCAATTACTACATCTACTTTTTGTCCACTTACCATCATTGCCATGCCTCCTCTGCTGTCAGCTAAAATCCCATTTCACCATAGCAATCAAAAATATTTATTATTTGGCCCTTATTTACCACTCCATCACACCTCTTGCAATTCCTTCTTAGTGTTCAGATGTGCGGGACTCCTCAGGGCTCTCTCACAGTAACATGCTCCAGCTTGGAACCTATGTACAGGCTGCCTTCTCTGCTCCCTTCACCTAGGTAATGCCAACTTTTCCTTCAGGACTGAGTTTGGAGGTCCTCACCTTCAAGGCTTTCTTTATTCCCAAGGACCATGCTTACACATTTCAGAGCACGTATCATGTTATATTGCTATTGTCTAATTTCTTATTTGTCTCCCTCATTAGTCATCCCATCTAGCACAGTAAAAGTGATAATTACTTTCTGAAGGACTGAATGGTTGGTTGAATGGATGCTGCCAAATCCCACTGATCTTCCTTCTCTGCTTGATCTTGTTTGTCTGACACTTGGGCCCACCTGACTGGCAAGAGACCATCTCACTCTTATGCAATATGGGTCTAGTTGTATTATAAAAAACTCGAAGGGTCATTCATGTTTTTTATTGCTCCAGGATGTCATTAGATTTATTAGTTGATTTATGTGGTCCATTGGTTTGGGATTGCATCTTTTTTGTATGGGGTTACAGAGGAATTTTTATTGTTTATTATAAAAGCATTGATTAATTCAGGACTTGATCTTTATTTTGTGATATATATATATATATATGATATGATATGATATGATGATATATACATATATATATATATATATATATTGCAGTCTACCATACAGCAACTCTCTCTAAAGACCTTGAAAGAATTTGGATCCAGATGATAAGAAAAGATGGATGAAATGTGCTTCTTTCACTCCTTTTGTTGAATAGGCTGTTTGATAAAGATTTTTCTCCCCACACTAGGGTTTGAGATGCATTCATCTATCATTTAACCATAAAGTATCTTTGTAATTTAAATGAGTATTTTCAGGAAGCAATTAAAATGGTAACAGATTAATTAGAAATAACATGTGAGTATTAAAAGGTTTAACCATTTAATCTTGGTCAAAATATTTCCCCAAGAGACTTACCTTGGTTATTTTGTAAAATAACGTAATCCATATATTAACATTTAAGAGCTATTAACAGTAATAATAACACTTAATATACCTGGCTCGTCAGGGTCCATAGAAAGTGTTAAGCATGCTCTCTGCTCACAAAGAAAGAAGAAATACGAGATTTTTACTGCCTGAGTTTCAGGAGGACACTTGATTTATTTGAAAATGGATGGGAAGACTAATTCTTATTTCTTTGGCTAGAATATAGAGAAGAAATAGAAAGAATTGGGATTAAGATTATGCATAAAATGCTAATAATGAGCCAAAGTAATTTTTCCATCAATACAGACATATAAAATCAGTGTGCTTCCACTTAGGCAAATGATATGTTCCTGAAATGTTTTATGAAAATCGACTGTATATCAAATCACATAGAACTGTATGACTAGGGGAATTATTTGGAGGATTTCCATAATTCATACTTATGTGTAATGAAAAAATTCTCCCTAATTTACCTGCTCTGCCAGCCTGATTTTTCCCATTTGTTGTGCATAAATCTGTTCCCACTTCTCCCAGGTGCCCTGTCAGAAGAAAGCTCTTTTTACCTTCTAGGTTCTGGGTGCCCTGCCTCTTAGGATCGGGAAACCAAGGTGGGTTATAGCTGGTGGGTTTGAGGACAGGTTACTCTTCCAGGTCAACTTGGCAGAAGATGGTAGTTTTGACTTGAGGTGTGGTGTTCAGGGGTACAGAGGAGGGCAATCTGTGGTGCAGAGAGGTGGGAAGAGTAGATTTCCAGAAGGTGGATTTTTGGAGAAATGAGGAACATGTTTGCAGAAGGATTAGATCTCTTGAGGGGAGAGAACAGTCTGCACCCCCCCACCCCCACCCCGTCATTCCCCCTCCTGGTAGTTTTATGTGTCATTTTTTTAGGCCTCCTCTTGTTTTTCAGCTGTGGAAACAGGATATTTAAAGTAAAGGAAGAAGCAGACTTAAAGAATTAAAAAAATTGTAAACAATTTTAGTGTATCTACCCTGGCTAATTAGATGACCAAAATATTTAAAAGTTTCCCAAGCTGTAGACTATTTGATGTTGCTAAGATTGTGTTGGAAAATGGTTGGAATTTAAATATAAAAGCACATAAAAATAGCAAAAGGTTAAAATTCAATATAAAAAGCATCTGAAAATAAGAGCCCAGTGACATTACAGAATAAACAATACGTATTTAAGAAGGAATTATCCTGGCAACTCTAGGAGCAGGCTGTGGGGATCGGGTGAAAGAGTGGCCTTGAGAAGATAAGGGTGGGGGTGGGGTGGGAGGAACAGGAGCACCTTTGAGAGAACTCCATAGCATCATGGGAGGGGCTGCTTTCTGTGTCCACCCCTGCCCCTGACCAGGTCCACATTAGGCCCACTTTGGTGTGAGTGCATCTCTTACAGTGCCTTTCCATTTAGAGAGGCTCAGAGGAGGGCAGGCCTCTCTCTAGCTATTTGAAACTTTGGATTTCTACAGGCAGCTCTGGAATCTGGGCCATTAGGGAACAATTATGAAATCTTGAAGATGGGGAACAAAGAGTGGTCCAGTGTCGTGTTAGACATACTAGGATCAAAGGACTTCTATTCACCCTTGGGACAAGAGCCAACCCAAATTTGTTTTTGGAAAGAAGATTCCCCTTGCTTCATCATTCATTCACAGTTGGACATCCAGGTAGAGCTGGGGCAGAGTAAGGAAAATGGATAGAGTCTGGCTGGCCTAGACAGATTTTCTCTCTTGCACAAGAGGAGATTCTTGTCCTTCTACCAAAGGTTAAAAAATGTGAGCTTCCTTAAGGAACTTGCTGTCCTCTGCATTGGAGAAAGGAGAGCTTCCAAATCTGGCCTGTCTGTGTTTGTACCATTACCAAAGAATCTTCTTCACGACCCCTGTGACTTTATGACTGCCCAGCTTTGCCCTTTATCCCTTCCCTAAAAAAAATAATAAAAAGAGAGAAAATGGAAAAACAAATAGTGTTAAGATTCTTTTGAGTAATTTTCTCAACACAAATAGAAATTCCCTAAGTTTGGAAAGAAGGAATTTAATTCTAGCAGTTTGGGAGAATTGAGGAAGGAGATGGAGAAAAGAGACGGATTAAATTAAGATTTGGACAAAATAACAGAAAATGGTAAAGTTCCAAGATTAGTTTGTGGCCTTATTTTGAATGGAGCTGGTTTCAGAGTTGCTTCTCCATCTTCTTAGACTTACCTGTACAGAGCTGCAAAATCACGGAGGTGGCTGGCTGTCCTGCAGTGGAACGGTCCCACAGATGGAGAGATGTCCTCAGAGATTCAGTCTAACCTATTGTAGAGGGCTCCCATATCTGTTTTGGAAAGCCTTTAGAATTCTTTCAGGAGTTTTGCCTGGTGAATAAGTATTTAGAGTCTCTGAGTGCCCCTGCCTTTCAAGGTTCTTTGATGAGTGTGACTTCTGTATCTTCTGAGTCGTGTTTTACATTGGTTTTCATCAGCTGTTGCTTCTATTGATCCAAATAAAAGAAAAAAGAAGCACTGTCAAGAGATTTGAAGAAAAATTCTAACCTCAAGGGAAATGCTAAAGTATTTCCCTAATGAGAACTTCCCTCCCCAAATCCTCATTATTTTGTTTTGAGAGAGAGCAGGAATCGTTTCTAGATAGGTCCCTGGAAAGGGGGCTGTGGAGAATAACCTTATCAGTATAGTTTTGGGTGACCTCCAATATCTTAGAGGTGTTATGAGGTCTCAGTTGATGAGCTTCTCTCCCCAAAGATCCACGAGGGATCCTCTGTCATCCCTTCTGGTTTCTGTTCAGATGTCACTTAACCAGTGAGGTCTGTCTTGACCCTTCCCCACCCCCTTCCCTGTGGTTTTTCTCAGCAGCACTTAACACCGTCTGACCAACTGCATTTACTTACTTCTTTCTTTCCTGTTTGTCTTCCTTCACTAGAATGTAGGCTCTGCGAGAGGAGGGAGTTTTGCTCCTTGTAGAATCCCCAGCACTAGCTCAGTGCCTGGTACAGAGTGGGTTCTCAATAAACACTTCTGAATAAATAAATAGGAGAAACTGCCACACGTGTTAAATGCTGTGGGCAGAAAAAAAAGATGTCCTTTCAAATATGAACCTCAGATTTAAGGTTACCAGGAGTTGAGTTGAAGTCAAATTGGTTCTCACATGCATGTGCAGGTCCAGGCAGCATATGGCAGTGCAAATAACATTTGGTATTACTGTGTTTATTTTACAAAGGTTAACGTTCACCTGGGTAATACTGGGAAGTGGCTGGAAGTGATGAAGCCTGCAATGTGATAGAAGCATCAGGAGCCTCCAATGTAAAATGATAGGGCTGGAGAAAGACTGGGATGCTTTATAAGATTTCTTTTAATTCCAAATTACTAGTGAAGAATGTTTAGTCGTGTGTGTGTGTGTGTGTGTGTGTGTGTGTGTGTGTGTGTGTGTAAAGTTGCAATGCTACATCTGGCCACAAGATGACAGTATTATCTTTATTAAAACCAAGTACTGTGTCTGGTACATGGAGTAAACAGAAATAAATCCAGAGGACTTGTGAGGGGATGCAAATTCCTTTAGTAAAGATACGGTATAGGGGGGTCCATTACCTTGGGAAAACCATATGTGAGAAGAGAGAATTTCCTTTTGTCACAACTGGGAAAGAGCTTGAAACATAGATCTCTTCTTTCTTTCCTTCCTTTCCTCCTAGTCTTCTTCTCTTCCTCCCTTCTTCCCTTTTAGCTCTTTCAAGTTCTCACTTTATTGCAAAAAAAATTACAAGTCAAACAAAACAGAGATGTATGAGAAAGGTTAATATTCTCACCACTTCCTTTTAATCCCAACCTTCTGAAGCAACTAAAGTTTATAGTTTCCTTTGTTTTTCCATCTCTTTCTCTATATTCATACATATGTACAGATGACTAATTATATTCCTTTAGATCTTTTAAAAAATATCTGCTTGCCTCTTGTGAGGTAAATTTAAAATAGTGGAAAACCTCTCCCGTCTCTTCTGTACTGCCACAAACACTACCACCACCACACCATATATACACATACCAACACGTCATAACTCGCTTCTAATCACATCCCTGTTTCCATTTTCTCCTTGAGAAAGAGAAAGTCTTAGTATGAAGAAATTCACCACTTCTGCCTTTATCTTATGTTATTCTTCCCATTTGTCATTTCTGTTCTTTGCACACAATTCTATTGTTCAGTGTTCACAGAATCGCTTGGACTAAAACCTGTGGATTCATCGGTAGAAAATGTTCCTGTGACGACACTCCTGTGAAGGAACCCATCGCTGCTCCTGTAGAAACGTAAAGTCACCCTTTCAAGAAAGGAGCTCCTCCCCTGTGTTTCTTCTGGGTTTTGCGTCCAGATAGAGCTTTCCTCCCTCACCCACAGGGAGGGAGTTGCCCTTCTGCTGGCTCCAGTGGCTCAGGAACTGGGGACGCAGTGCCTGGCTTGTGGTGTCCTGTGGCAGATGTGGGAATTTTTCCTTTTTTATGCTTCCCTGACAATGGGGGGTAAGTCTCAAGCAAATGCTATGTGTATTTTCAAAATAATTTTCTTCCAGCTAAATGATTGCAGCATCTGGAACTTGTAATGAAAGAG